TCCCCGATTCTGAAAACGGAGGATACGTAGTACATTAGTACTGCAGACGTAGACTGTAGTAACAGCCACAAACTACGAGACATTTGTATGCGAGGATTGCATAAAGCTCCATGCTCAAGGAGTCAGCTTGGGTACCAGCTCTAGCAAATGAAAAAATGCACAGCACTTGGTCTCAGCATACACACACATATCTTTCATTCAAATAACTATAAATTATTATTTTATTTTTCAGCAATGATTGATGAATTAATTTTTCTTCAATTTTTGAGGATTTTGAGCAAGGTATTCATGCTGACTAATTTTAGGTGCTGAGAGGTCAAACACAGGAGAATTGTATCATTAAACTTCTTTGATAGCCCAAGAACAGAGAGGCCCCGTCGGAAAAAAAAAAACAGAGACAAAACCTAATTTACATACTCAGAGCTTTGGTATCTTTGATCTGCAACAGGGAAAATATCCCTAGGATCAAAAAAAGGTGGAACTACGGCAGCAGCCTAGATTGGTCTGCATCAAGCCAAGGATTAGTAGCAGAAATTCACCTAGTCTTCTTTCTGACAAATTTGCAATCCGAGGTGATATTCTGAACAGATCTCCTTAAGAATCTGAAAATATCTTATATTTTATGGAATTTCTTTAGTAGGTAATAACATATTTGAAGTATTTGAATATGTTAAATAATCATAATCATCTCTAAAAATACTTCTATTATTTCCAGTAGATGGCAGCAATACTATGTCAAACAGATTAAGATATTACAGTTTGTCAAAAATTCATATTCATATAATCCATATTAAATATGAAAGCGTTGGCCCTTCTGAAATGAAGCAAAATGCATTACAAGCTATTCACAAAAAATGTTCATCTTATGCAGGAAAGAATATGCACAAAAAGAGTTAGGAATGTCAAAATCCAACAAAGACACTTAAATATTTTTTGGATTCACTAGCTTTTGAAAAATATTTAATTCCTTGCAGTTTGGATTTTTTTTGCTTATTGAATAATTAGCAAACATATATAGCATTAGTATATAGAAAGGCTGTATATATTTTAGAAATATTAAAGCTGTGATAAGAAAATACTGTAAAGCTAAGCTTCCTGACAGTTGATCTTTCTCCTTAGCAGCCAAAAAGGTTGGCCTTAAGCAGCCTTTCCCCTCCCTCCAGCCCCCTTACTGGCCTAATTTCAATCTTATCTTTTGCTTTTCTAACTGCTTTCCTCCATCATAGTCAATTCCTTGTGTGAAAGATAGTTTCAAGCTGTGCTCAGCTTGCAATGACCTCAGAACTGTGGAAAAGAGATTCCAACCCAAAATATCCGTTTGGCAACACCCAGAACCTTATGGTCAGAGGAAGCGAGTTTTCTTTGATATGCAAAAACTCACAGTTTCTGGCTATTTTAGATTGTGGGACTCAGGATAGTCTGCTGAGTGCTGCCAGTTTCACCATAAAATATCACGTTTATTAAAAAGGTCAACCTATTAAATTTATTTATATTTACAAGGTCTGCTGCATTTCTTTTAACCCCTAGATATTTCTGCAAAGGCTCAAGAGATCTGTTTCCCACCATTTCAGAGGTATTCCTAAAGCAGTAGTTCTTGTTCAGGTAGGCCACACTGAGTAAGAGTAATCAATAACCAGTGTCTTCTCTACTTTGGAGCTCAACTTCAGACCTGTTTCTTGTAATCAACTCCCTGCTGCTGAGCCTCACAGACTAGGTGTTTTCAGCAGCTGAACTTACCATGTTCCAGAGCACAGGCCGTCTTCATCCTGATACTGTTCCTTTTAGTTCTGAAGACCAAATATAGGGAACCAAAGACCACAGAGAATATTTTTCTTTTGCAGGTGGTGTGAAAGGCCCATAAATTCCAGAGACTTCAAGGAGATTGTTTTTGCTAACCTTTCTTCCTCAGGTTGCAGTCTGTCGTTTTTCTTTTCCCTCCTGGATCATCAGACCTTTCATAAACCAAGACTACCTTTGAATATCTATTCTCATCAGGAATAAAGAAAAAAAAAAAAGAGGTTAAACCACCACAACAGATTTTTAGTTTTCTTTTCTTGAGACAAGAAAGACTCATTTTTCTCCCAAACTGTGACATCTGGAGTACCAGTAAATTTAGAGAGGCTGGAACTCGCACAGCTTCCTTGGTACTCACCTTATTTTATCATTCCCTTGGGGTGATCTTGGAAGCCCGTGACAGCTCTGGCTATTACACCCTACTTGTTCTCTCTCGCCTTCTGCCCATAGCACTGTTCTACCACCTGAGACAGGAGCGACCTAAGATCCCCTTACAGACCTAGTGTAAAAAGTTGCTACAGCATTCAAAGAACAAAAACAAAATCTAGCCAACCTGTTACTTTCCACTACATCTCTCCAAACATCTTCCAATTTTTGTTGTGTATAGTCCGTCCAAATCTGAGATACCTTCTCCAATCTATTGTGGTTCCTGTTAGAATCACTGTTCTTAAAGAACCACCTGGATTGTTTCCTGAGCATCTATGTAAAAAGCCCTACGGCAATGCAAAGAAACTGAAGCACTGCCTTTTTCATATAACTTGGTAAAAGTCTCCAGGGCCTGTCTCATCAGTGGCAGGTGGCAGGTAACGTGAAATCATAAGTAATTCTCTGCATAAGAGCCACACGGGAGCCTATGCTTCCTGAATGGCTGCCATATGTATCTGGTCTATCAACACGGCTTCTCAGATTCCAGTCTGCTGACACTAAGGTTACTAATCACAGTGATTACTGGTCTCTTTTTCACATGTTTATTCATGCAGCTACTTTTCCTCTCTGCTTTTAAATGGGTATATTTTATTGTATCATACATCCCCCTTACCACCCCACCTTCTAAATGAAAAATCACTCAAGGACATATGGATCTTAAAAGTACTAAAAAATCAAAACAAGCCAACAAAATCCAAAATGGAATTGCTATTCTTCAACTGGAAGGCTTATTCCTGAAGATGACTTGGCAAGAAAATCTTTTAAGCTCTACTGGACAAAATCTGTAGCTGCCTGGATCTCAATGATAAAGCAAGAGCAAACCCATTAAACTACAGTATGTCGAATGTGATGCTCGGCAAGTTGTGAAATGAAGGTCAGTACACGGGAGTAAATTACATCTGTGAAGTTCACTGACTGGTTGTTGGCTTTCTGTAATATCCCCAAAATGCATCATTTTGATGTTTTAGAAAAATACATATTTAGCAAAGATTTGAAACACAAAGAATCAGGATAGAGAAGCTACTGATGGGATACTAATCTTTGATTTCAGCTTTTTGTTAAATTGAGCTTTTAACAATATAAAACTTTAGGGAAGGTGCTCCATTATTGAGTGCAATGACTTATTTCTGCATTACTGCTTTACTTACAGTGAACTACAGCTAAGTATTTAATATCTACACCAAAACCAAAGCATAGTCTGGTCACGACTGTTAAGTTTTATCGAGCTCACCATTGAAATCTTTTTGCAGTCTTGCACAAACAAGCAAACCAAATAAAAAAAAATCAGCAGTTTTATGCGATTTATTAAAATGCTTCCAGAAAAGTTTAAGGCTATTATTTTTAAAAAGTCAATACATACATTCTTTCTTCCCTAGTTGAACACTTTACATGATCTTTTATCTTTTTAAAGATTTTGCTGAATGGGTTTTATGAAAATGTTTCATCACATAGTATGCTTTCCTACACCTTTTCTTCTGTAAAATTTTCCTCTCTCATCTTCACTTCACATACTCATTCAGTTCTAAAAACGAAGCAGTTGAAATAAATTACAAAGCTTGAAGCAGGAGGAAAAAAAAAACAAAAAACAAAAACCACACCTTTTCTGAAAAACTATAAATACAGAAATATTTTCTATAGGGTAAAACCAACATTTTTTTTTGAAAAATAAAGAAATATAACTCACTTTATATTGTTTACTATGTTGTCACACTGATTTCTGTAACGCACATCAGAATATATAAGATACTTGACATTTACTATTTCCTGTAAACTCATAGAACACAAGAAATAAATGTTTTTGGCAATAACTTAACAGTTTTACGACTTGTGTTGTTACAAGTACTTTGCACAGGTTGTCCTGTTTAATATCAAGGATCAATTAAATTCATTACTATATCAGTTTCATAGCTTTCTAAATTAACATTCAGCAGACTGGTATTATTTCTTATACAAGAAATATTACCAAGAGATTTCTGCAAAGTGACAGGGCATTTAACTGAGTGTTTTAGACTGCATTTTTCAGCAACTCATCATAATGAGTAGATTAAGTCAGCCATAGGAAAACACAGTGACATTTTCAATTACACATGAGATCGAATGCAAAAAAAAAAAAAAAAAAACCCTTTAAAGACATAATTCAACAAAAATTTAAGGGATGTAATATATCCCAAAGGAAATTCAGTTCCCTTTTTGTTGAAGTTTTCTCTACCTCATCCCATAGGGTATTCGTAGAGCACCATTTATAGAAAATTGTTTTAAAACCGTAACTGTAAACAGCCATTTACAGAAACTTAATTGTTTTAACATTACTTAAGTGGTATTAAAACCAAGAGTGGAGGTCAGTGGAGTGCAAAATGCTGAAGAGGGCCTATTCACAAGCAGAGGATTCCTTATTTCTTGTCCTTTTGGGGATAATAGAGATATATATGGCACTGAAAGAAAACTTAGCAACTCATTTACAAATACCCAGTATTTGCAGCATTTAATTAATTCAGTGCTGATGTGGCTTTTCAGTTATTATTTTTAGCATTACATACTTTGATGAGCAAACCAAAGTATTACGCCAACTACTTTAAGTGAAGAGACTGTAATGTTGGTTGATGGATTTTGATAGAAGTTCACTTCGAAAAATGAACCCTTACAGAGCCCGTGGTTACATGGCCCACCATCTACATTTCTTGCTCATTTAATGCCACAAGAGGTACATAGGTTACTGAAAGATGTTTTGCTTCCTCCCTGCCCCTCCCACAAAAAATTCTTGTAAGCCTTTGTGATTTTGATACCCATCCTGAAACCCCATCTTAAGTCCATCTTATCAGCTGCAACATTAAAGTGCAAATAAAGCACTTTACAAAACTACAAAAAAGAAAAAACGTTATGTAATGCACAAATAAACAGTAGTTTAGAGATTCTGTTTACAGTAGGACTTTGAGAATAACTGGTCAAGTACCTCTTTAATCCACCTTAGATGTTTATGTAATATAATCACAGGATATGAGTTGCAAGAGATTCCAGCTTACACAGATTGGCAGATACAGTACTACACTCATAGATACAAATACAAGGAGGACTGCGTTGACACTGTCACAAAGAATGTTTTAAAAGTGCTTCTCCAAAGGGTTCCATGTATGGAATGCAAATACTGTACAGGTAAGACACAGCTTTTCTTCCATGAGCTTTAATTTTTGTCAAACATCAGTTTCTAATTGTTTTTCACTTTCACAAGAGTTTGTCTGTTCCATGCGTTCACAGTCGATGTTGTTCTCACTAGTGTCCATACTACAGTCTGACTCGCTGCCCGATTGGTCCATTTGCTCAAGGCTGGTTTCTCCCTGGGATACTCTGCTTCCATTTGGTGACAAAAGAAAATGTGCTTCTGAGTTCAGCACCTTGGCTTTTCCTGCACACGTAACCTTCTCTTTGGCCTGTCGGATACAGTTAAGCCACTGCTGTTTGTTGAAGGAGTCATTGGCTTGTAGTGAGTGAGACTGGCTTTGCGATCCACATTTGAAGCTGACTCTGAAGAAATTTTTGACTGAAAGAAACAATACATATCAAAACGCTGAACATTTTGGCCAAATGAATTTTATAATAAATGAGTATATTAAAATAAGAGAATCTGCAAAATCTCTGACTTGCTGTATTTTTTTGCCAATACCATGTCTGACCTTTAAGAAGAGTTTGGTTATCTCTGTTCTCTAGAGCACAGAGACAATACTAACACTTCTAATAAATTACTTCTGCTGGATTAAATAATTTTGAACCCGCCAAGTACAAACTACCTCATAGAGCCTCAGGTGAATCATAATGATTAAAACTCCTCCCAAACTCCTCTTGCTTCACTGCAAAGCAGATTTCCAGAGTCTTCAGTGATCACTGTTCCCTGTGCCAGCTGGAGGTTGCCTTATCTCTTCCAGTAAGTTCATTATAAAGCTTTTCACACAAAACTCTTAAGTTTTCACAACACTATAGTTATGTGGAGTACTGCCACTATCAATATAATGAAGGCTTTGAGAAACAATATAAATGAAGCAAGTTACTACATAATATAGCAGTATGAATTATGAATCAAGATTCTGTATTTAGATAATGCTGTTTCTAGAGAAAACATTGAGATCTCACTGGCAAGTGTCTCAAGGTTATATGATTTCAAAAGAACACAGGAAAAATAAATGCAAAGGTGCAGACATACTCCTCTCATTGTTGCTAAATGCGCCACGGATGGATCCACCCACTCGCACCTCTCCATCTTGCAAATCTTCTAGCACAAGATCCCTCACTGGAATTGGCTGCCGATAGAGCTGGTAGCAGAGCTGTTCATTATGGGTGATAGCTCGAGTAATTACCAACACTTCTTGAAAGAGGAAGACATGTAGTTTCTGTTGCAAGTAATAAATAATAAAGCATTATTCACTTTTTAGATCATTAAATTTATGTCAACTAACATGTTATCTAAAGTTGCTTGGTTTTCTTCCCACCGCTTATAAGGTAAACCCAACAGCATATAAGGTAAACCAGAAATCAGCCTCTACTTCATCTTTCAGCATCAGTCATATGGCAAAACATGATCCATCTATACACTATCTAAGAACACGCTACTCATATAAGGACTCTCAAGTACTGAGAAAACCATTTAGAATTCTGGTATCTTGAGGGGTTCCTTTAGCTCTTCTGAGGTCAATTAATGAAAAATACATATTTTTTCATTTTTTATTCATTCCAAGCTTTATTTTTTAATTTGAACTAGAAAAAATATCTGAATTGCTGACTTCTAGTTTATTAATACCTCCTAAACCACATTTTTTTCCTTTGAAAATGGAAAAAATCTTACAATACTTATCAATACTAAAAAGTTCTAGAGCCTGGAATTCATAGTACTTTTCTCTGATCAATAAATTCACTTGGAACCTGCATCAAATAAGCAACTAAACCATACTTATTAACCACAGCCTCTGACAAACCTAGAATTTGTTAGTGGATTTTTGCATATTATTTATAGACATTACAATCATTTCCCTAAGACCAGAGATATGCATGTTAAGAGACAGACACATATAAGTTTAATATCTCCAAATAGAGATACTAGACTGCTGGCAAAAAAAGTGTTGTAATAGTTAACATTTAATATTCAGCAACTCCCTAGAGAGATGATGATGTCTTTGTATATTACAACAACTTGCAATTTCTCACAAATCATGACAAGCAAAATGAAGATGACGAAATATTTGTTGCTTACCACTCCCCTGTTATTCTTCAGTTCACCGTGGCAGCACACAACACGCGAATTATCAATCAATGAGTCCCTTTGGCCTTCTTCAAGATAAATAAGTCTTTCTTTGTAGTACTGGCATTCGGATTCACCGGTTTTTATATTGATTTCAGCCACTATACCCTGGATTATATTTATCTGTGGAAAAGCAATATCAAAAATGCACAAGCTTTAATTTAATTGTCCATTCAGAGCTATTATCTCCTAACTTAAACTGCAGCTGCAATAAAATTAATTTTAATTTATAGGCTATGTTTAATGAATTCTATGAAGGCTCTGTCTGTAACCATATTAATATTAGCAACAGAATAAAAGCACTACAGCATCATACATATACATAGGCTACATATACAGGCATTTTGGTTTCATCAGCATCTGTAACTGTTGCTTGAAAATCAGGTATTTACCTCAATTCTGTGTATTTAGGTTTGGCATATAAAGATATGCAAGAAATACTATCAGAGATGCATTTTTGTCAGCTGAAATGCATCAATAAATTCACAGGACAAATAACTTGTCTTAATGTATTTATTTAGTATAGATCACTAATGATCTGAAAGTTGCTACGTTGTATCTAAGAATGAGAAGAACCACAATCAAGATCCACATTCTGCAAAGTATGCAACTAGATCCAAATATTAAACAAGTTTTCTCAATAGAGAATTTCTCTATTAAATAAGGTGGTGGGCAGACAGGCTGAGACATAGTTAAGGCTGTCCAGCCAAATAAATAACGATTCAAGAACCTACTGAACCAAGGAGATGTGCATCAGGGAGCAGCTTGGCCTGATACGCTTACGGCACGTTGCCAGGCAGGAAGACAAGAGGGCTTTATAAACCTAAAACACTGCTCGGAGATAACCACATATAGTAACTTCTGCTTTCTAATTCAACTTGGCAAATGTACAATTTATGAAATACATCACTTGAAAGATAAACAGAGCTCTGCTGAAACAGAATATCACAAAGCTACATAAGGGTATGGAAATATCAAGAAAAATATCCTGATTGTATTTTTTAAACAATTACCAAATACAAGTAAGTGTTAGAAGAAAACATTTTAAGTATATTTTTAAAGTTCTTAGCAGAAATTCTGTAGAAAAACCTCAGAAATAAGCAGAAGAATTAAGATATTTAGAGATTTTGTTTAGGCTTTTAGGCATTTGTTTCAAAAAATATTTACAGGGAAAAATTTATTTGTAAAAGTACAGATTACACACATACACACACACAATGCATTACTGGATTATATGAATGGAAAAGGAAACAGAAATCTTGGAATATCTGAATCAGGTCTTTCTCCACTCATAAAGAAATTTTAAAAGCTTGGAATTTTTCTTTCGTTTTACTTCAGACTGCAAAAGATTATTTAGAATAAGAAATAGACTTAAGTCCAACTTCAGCAACACTTCTGCAGAAGATATTACATCTAGATTCTGAGATTCGGTAAGGATTCAAACCAGAGAGTAAAACTCATCTAAACCATCTGAACGCTCAAAGTAAATCTGCATGTTAGCCAATTTAGATTATAACGAAAAATGACACTGACAGATAAATACAAGACATACAAGGATTAGATAAGAATTTATAGAAAAATACTACTACTATCACCCATTTTTGGTGTAACTTTGCTACTGAAATAGGATTCAACTGGGGGAGGGAAGCTGGGGGAGAGCAGTTCCATGCATAAGTTTCAACTGTTCATAAATGTATTCACATTTCCATAGTCTATACAGTGTTCCTGAATTTATTAATCAGCATAATTTATGTGCTGTAAATCTCATAAAAAGCAGAAACTCACAGCTTCTTCAAGGTGTTGTTGATCTGGATGATCATTTGGTGTATGTCTCAAAATCTCTCGGAGCAGTAAGGGGTATTTAACCAAACGGCTTCTTGGGATGTCAAGGAAATTCCAGAGGTCCAGCTTGCGACTGAAAGGAGACTCTAAGCAGCGCTGCAGGAAATCTTGTACTCTGTGATCTTGTTTCTTGTGATCCAGTAAAGCTTTGGCTGCTACTTGATTGCTGCAGTAGCTATCGTAGGAATTTAAGCAAGGAAGCTGAGGAAAAGAATAAATTATTCTGCAACTGAAACAAAGGTTTTTTGCTTCAATAGAATGTTTCAAGATTCAAGATGTTAGAACTTCTGTTAAAAGTCTACCTTTTGGAGAATTACCTGCAACTTATTGATAATAACATTTTCAAACTATGCTGAAAGGTTTACAAAGGTATAACTTTTGTCCAGATCAAATAGACCATCCTGTTAAATTAGAATTTAATATAACAGCATTTCCATACAATCAGATTTATTGTATAAAATAGCATACATGTCTTCCAGCTTCCATACAGAATTAAGCAGAAAAAATTGCCATTAAAACATATTTAAAGTGGGATTTTAAACATACTTTGTGCAAATCCTAAGAATACAACAGTTGTATGCTGCAATAAGCAGTTATTCCTACTATCTTTTCTTGCTTCAGGTAACCAGAACAGTTAACTGAATGGCTGATATCTTATTGAAGCTGACCCTGTCATCCTCACTTTGCCAAATTTCCATGTTTCTCTCAAAAAACTTGACCAAAGACAGAAGAACCTTAAGTGTGAAAAACATGCTAGCTTGTATGTTGACTGGAACAACATACTTCTTTACAAGAACTCCTATACTTAAAAGTATATGTAAAATCTTCTAGAGAATAAATTGGTCTCAGGCATATTTGAACCAAGAGAAGTTAATTTGTGTTCAAACACACTAGAAAATATTCAAAATTATTTTTTATGCAATGAAAATGGGAGATAATTATCATATTTACCAGCTATCATTAACTATATGCATTATGTACTAGCAGTCATGTTGTAAAGTCTTTCCTTTATAATAGTGTTTTTCACACACAGTTTCTAAATATATCACCTAATCCCTTTAAAAATTGTAAGCCTGATTTCTCGTGTTAAATTTAATTATTTACATATTCCACAGAATAAACTTTTCATACTTCTAAATCCTCCAGAAAGAGCCTATTCTTTCATGCAATTAGTAGTTTTATTAATGAACAAACTAAATCTGGTTTTCAGTGTTTATGTTGCTGGTTGCTTCTAAAGTATGAACTTTGCTACTAAATGGCTGCTTTTTACTTTAAAAAAACACTTTGAAAATATATTTTTGAAATGCTATGTTACATGTGGAATGAATATTGCCTGAATAAACACAAAAGCTATGTTACAAATCAAAACTAAAAATGATTAGAAAATCTGCCTTACCCAACCCACAAGAATATGGCCAACATGTTCTGTTGATCCATCAGACTTCCTGACTTCTTGAAGCCGCCTTAGAAGATCTAATGATGATTAGAAAAGAAGACAAACTTGACTTCCCATACTAGATGTATATAAAACCATATTGCATAAAGCAGAAAAAGAAGAGAATTTTACCTTCATGTAGAGGTATTAGAGAGTCCAATGTTCCAAAAATTTGGTTCAACTCTTGCTCTGTCATTATGGAAAGTTTAAGCATAGGGTCATGATATGCCTGCCAAGAAAAGAAATCAAGAGTTCCACAATTAAAATAATAATGGTAGCTGAAAAATCAGAAATAATATTTAAAGCTCTCCATAAATAAAATCATAAAAATGGTTAAGAACTTTCAGAAAGCGTATCGTATGTTTTCTAGTTAGTATCTTTTTAAAAAAATAAGTATCAGAATTATACGCTTCAGAAAGAGCTGGGAAAAAAATATATGTATTTTTCTCTTCCTATCTTTGCAATTATAAAAAGAAATGGCTATTTTAAAAGTGATATGAGCAACTGAATACTGAGGATGGGTAGGTCAGGGGTTAGTTTGTTTGTTTTTAAACACAGACCTTTTTTGCTAACTTCAGATCTTCTATCAAGTCTTCTTCTCCCTGAGAAAGCTCAAAGATAGCCTGTAAAAAGACACAAGTATTATAAAATATTTTTATTTAAGTAGCACTCAACTTTAAAAGTGGGTATTGTATTCCAAACAGCTTTCTTAATACTGCTTGGCAGAATTTAGTTTTAATTTCAGTTAAAACTAATTGCAGGGATAAAGCAAGACTTATTTTGATAGATACAGTCCTGTGCAGTACCTTTAAAAACATGGCCCTACCAGATTGCTCACAAAATATTTACCAGAATCATCCAAAATTACTTTTTTTTTTCAGACTGATGCAGAGCAGGGAGCTCCACAATGCAGAGCAGGGATTTCCAGAGCAGGGAGCTATCTTTAGCATTATATTTTGATTTGACTACATCTTAACTACTTTAGCCTAAATAAATAAATAAATAAAAGTTTATACATTTGCATTGATTCTTGCTATGTTTTGTTTTAAAGCCTGTGCAACATGCTCTGTGTGACCCTGCTTGAGCAGGGGAGTTGGACTAGATCTCTAGAGGTCCCTTCCAACCTCAACCATTCTGAAACTCTGTGAACACAGTGACAAAGTTTCCAGGTTGTTTAAAAGGTCAAAAGACAGATCGTTATTAGAATACTTGTTTGGTAGGAATCACAATTATCTTGGCACCATTTCATTTTGCTATGACTGCAAACCTCTGC